AATGCAGTCGTTTTACTTACTGCATACTGCTGGTCATAAAAAAACTATTGTTTTAATTTTTGGTAAAATGACTTCTGAGGCCAAAATTGTAATTTGTATTCCTTAGGTGAATCTTGAATCTCATTGTTTGTGAGGTTTCTGTTAAAAGTTTGTTATCCTTCATTCAAATATTGGCATCACCTAAAAAGAAAAATGGGAAGTGCTATTTTAGTTTCCACTCTTTGAATGTCCAAGATTGTTGCAACTGGCTCTATGCCCAACTTCAATACTTCCTGAACTTCACCCAGCCTTTGTTTCCTGTCTTTCATTACTGGACAGCTTGATTAATCCGGGTGTGTCTGGCAAATGTCGTCATGGTTACTGAGATTTGTCCAGACTGGTCAGTTCGTCTGTCCATAATTAAAGACAGGAAATAAATGGCCAAATTGTGGTCTGCAAGGAGGACTGGGTGCATAAATGGAAGTTCCACATATGCGTTGCACACATTCACAAGACACACCTCAGCATCAAGGCATTGCATGTTATTGACAGCTTGTTGTAGTGTTTATCACAAATATTCATAACTTAAAGCTCTTAAAATTTAAGTCCATTTAAAAATTTTCTTTGGTCTATTAACCTTGAGCCCAGCTAGCCCTGTACTGGGCCCAACTGACACCTGCTCATGTTTATCTATTTATAGAAATGGCCAAAACACAGTCACATGGTGTTTCATTCACACGCCTTTCAAATGGGGCTGTAAAATTTCTAAAACATGTTTCAAAATTATTTTTTCACAAATATTTTTTGTTGTATAGCTGTGTGAACAAATAAAATGAGATTTAAAATTCCACCTGGCATGTGTGACTCTGTGGGATTAATGCAACAGCAGGAATTCATTTTTACCCCCATCCCCTTATGGCCAGCATCATCGGAAACTAGAGGCTCAGACCTTTCCAAGGAGGGGTGGGAGGTAATTGTGTGGCCACTTTAGGTGATGTAGCCGGCATGCATTACATAAGCTTACTCTGTTATTCTTATTTTCTATTCAGTTTGTTGATATTATTATTACATTTCAATGAGACAACGGCTAAATCTGAGGAGCAAAGGCTTTGCTGGTCTCCAATAATGTAAATCAGCATATTGGTCTGGCCAGATTCCCTCTTATGAGTGGAAAAATGCATTTTTGCACTGTGTCAATATCACATTTCCACTAAAAGATTTGTGGGACAAACATGCTTATACTTGTTAAGTCCAAATGTGCTTGAGGTATAGTCAAAATGGGGATCTAAAAAGTCTGAGGGTTCATTCAGATTTTCAAATGGGGTTTCATGGTGTTTTGCAGTGTTTATTTTGAAAAAAAAAATGGTGAGGCTCAATATTTTTCATTTTTTTCTTTGTTTAATCACCTATAAATCAGACATGGTGACATTTAAAATAGTGGTTCCACCTGACAAATATTCCACAATGCCTTTCTGTCATATAAATACAAAAATTTGTATTCCCAATGTATAGTTTGGAAGCTGTACTTGCTTTAATTCACATATGTAAATTCAGGCGAATTAGCTCCTAAGAACCTCAGGGCTTAAAGTAGCCTTGATATAATAATTCATCATTACAGGGTAAAAAGGTTAACTCAACAGCACACTTTAATTCACCTGTTCATGCAGCAGTATTAAAGCATATAATGTACGTGTTTACCGTTTATCTTATAGACAATCTTAAACGTTTGATCTCTGGCAGCCGGTGATCATGGCAACAGTCGGGGCCAAAGCTTGGACTGTTACTGAGGTGATGACAGCTTCCTGTTCAGGTAGTGCGAGCAAACGCTATATCAAAAGGTGAGGGTGCCGTTATACTGTACCCTACAGCTGTGAGAGGGTGAGTAGGAGTGGTAGCCACTTCAGGACGTAGTGGAGTTGGGCATATAGGCCATTGAACTCAGTTTAAGACAATTCTTTGTAACATGGGAGGCTGAATAATGTTAATGAAATCCAAATGTCACGTATTGAATTAAAAAAATCTTGAAAAACATAAAACACATTACTACAAGAGGTGAAAATAACTGTCATGAAGTGCTCTGCAATAAACTCCAGAAACCACGGCAACGGCTCAGTACAAGACGACTGTTCTGACTGAATGATCACATTTTCCTCTTGACTCATGAGGAAAACCTCTCTTTGTCTCGCCAATGTTGCCAATCAGCATCGAGCAGCCAGCTTCACGACCCACCCCTGCTCCATAGACCTTCTAAGAGGTTTGGTGATCTTCAAAATTTTTGCCCCCCTAGTACTCGATGAGAAATCGCCACTGGCCTCCTTTCAGCAAGTTGATCACTAATAAGAACAATAGATGAGGAAAGAACAACACAGCAGTACTCTATAGCTGTTGTGGCTGGAAAAAACTCCAACACTTTGCCTCCTTAATTAATGTTGACAATTTGTCTTCTGATTGGAAAGTTTCAACAATCACTATTTATTGAGTTTGATAACTATAAGTTGTGGCACAATATTTATTTTTAACCTAAGCTT